GCGCCAAGGTTAAGTGCCAAAGAACTAAGAGCCAGGTTCTGGAATAAGATTGCCTGGGTTCGAATTCCTCATCTGCCACTTCTAGCTGTGTGATCCTGGGCAAATTATGCAACCTCTCCAGGCTTGCATTTCTTCATATGTAAAATTGGGATGATTAAAAAAATCCACTTCGCCTCATAGGGGTTATCATAAGGATTCAGAAGTGCTCAGTATGGTTCCATTGCATATGGTGATAATCCAATTAATGATTAATAATAAATAGGGTTTGGGGGCTTTTTGTTTGTTTTGTTCAACCTGAAAATAGGTCTTGCTTCTCATTCTAGGTAATTCAGATACAATTTTTAAATATTTTATTCGCTTTTTAACGTTCTGTCATTTATTCAACAAATACTTATCGAGCACTGTAATTTGCCAGGCATTCTTGTAGGTGTCTGGGATATAGCAGTGAACGAGACTGTCCCAGTCCTGCCCTCATGGAGCTGATGGTCTACTAGGGGGAGACAGCTGATAAGTAGAGAAATAAAGGAAAAGCTCCATTTGGCAGGTGCTTGTCAGGGAACAGCTCTGCCATGGACGTCCCCACATAGGCCATGAGGACAAGGTCAACTGCAGTCTGCCCCAAGTCTCAGACGAACGCCCTGTGACCCTCCCAGGAACATGGTAAGCAGCCACGTGAGGAGCTGTCGGGAGGCCATTGGTCATCCACCTCCCGATCTTGCGGTGGCTGCCATGAGGCAGTTTCTGGTCCGCCTCCTTGGTTTTCAAAAGGCGTGGGACTTCCAACCTTGCCGCCCCACTGAGGGTACAGCTGCAGGCTATACAGTCACTTAGTTGGAGTATGGAGCCGACTCCTCCACGACAGGGCAATCCACCACTTGTGTCATCTGTCCTCCCTGTTTTGGTATCATCCTGCGGGACTGGGGACGCAACAAGTGGACATAATGCTGATCTTGCCTACGCTGCTAAGTAATAAACTCTGCATCAGCCTTGGGCTTTGTTTCCTCTGCACCTGAATTGATGGCAGAGTTGCAAGTCCAACCTAGCAGCTGTGGCAGTAGTTGCCATTTAGGGACTGCCTGACCACCTGACAGAGCTAAGGACCACAAGGAAACTAAAACAGAGGTAATGTAATGGAGAGTGACTTTGAGGCTGTTAGGGAGAGCAGGGAAGTGTTCACCAAGGTGACACATGAGCCAGACAGGCTGATCTGGGGGAACCGAGTGATAGGCGGAAGGAACACCACGTGTGAAATGAACTGAGACAGGAGGCAGAGGATAAATGAAGTTAGACCAGCAGGCAGAGGCTAGTTTACACAGGGGCTTGCAGGCCTGAGGACAGCTTGAGTTTTCAAGTGTTAAGGAGGCAAGTGATATACAGTTGACCCTTGAACAACACAGGGGTCAGGGGAGTAGTCCAAAATCTGTGTAGAACTTGTTAGTTCCAAGTGCGCAGATTCAACCCACGGCAGAGCATGTAGCGCTGTGGGTATTTATTGTAATATTCAATACATCTGTGTATAAGTGGCCCGCGCAGGTCAACATCATGTTATTCAAGGGTCAACTGTAATCCGATTCATATTTTTTTTAAAGATCATCAAGCAAAGAAAGAAAGTAAAAACAACACACACACACAAGAATGAAAAAAAGATGACCCAAACTGCAGTGCAGGGGCTGACCAAGAGGGGCGAGCGCGGAAGTAGGGGGCAGCGGCGCCCAAGCACTCTGGTGAAGGATGCTTGTGATGCAGCCAGGGTGCTTGGAGCAGCGAGGTGGGGAAGAGTAGATTATCCACCCCTGTAGGAGTTTGGCTTTTACTCGGAAACTGGGAGCCACAAGAAGGATTTGAGCCCAAGAGTGACTCAACCTAATATTTTAATTAGGATCACTTAGGCTGCTGCGTTGAGAGACTGTGTGTGTGTCGGTCAGGGGGAAGGGGGACAAGAATGGAAGCTGCTATTGCCATAATCCAAGGAAGAAATGATGACCAATTTGTCCACGGCAGCCTTCCCTCCACGAATTTGGCAACTGAACCTCTGAGATTGTCTCTTCTGTGAAGTGTGCTTACAATAGATAAAAATAATGTATATAAAGCACTGTAGCACAGCATCGGACACATGTTAAACCTATTAAATAGTAGGTATTATACTGGCTTTGCCAGTTTTATTCCTGAATCCTCTGCACCCACTTTCAGAACAGCTCCTAGAGGTTCTTGTACCTTTAAAAATGCAAATAAAACCTTATCACTCTCTACTTAAAAACCCTGAAGTTCCTTCCGTCTGTGGAATGCAGAAAATCCACCCTCCTGGTCACCGCCTACCAGGTAGGTGGTCCAGGGTCTGGCCCTGGCCTTCCTCTCCAGTCTCAGGGCCTGCCCCTTTCCTTGCTGGCTGACACTCTGGCCTTCCTTCTCTCCCTCCAACATCTCAGATGGCTTGTCACCATCTCAGTGCCTTTTGCATTTGCTGTTCCTACCATGAGAACTTTCTACTCCAATGCTTCATGCGGCTGGTTTCTCTCCCATTCAATCGCAGCTCAACCATGAGCTTCCCTGGCCTCCTTATCTAACATATGGCACCTACCCCTCATCCTCCAGTCCCCAGCACATTGCTGGTTTAGGTCCTTTACAACCTGCCACTATTGGAAATTATTTTGTTTACTGTCCCTTTCCCCAACTAGAATGAAATCTTCACGAAATCAGGAACCTTGCCCATCTTCCCCAGCACCTAGCACAGAGCGGATGCTCAGTGTATTTCTAGGATCTCAAATGCAGGGAAGGACATTAATTGATTAACTTTCCAAGCTAAAGAATTAAGGCAGTAGCCCAGGTTACCTATAAATCTTTTATACATGGAATTAAAATGGGGACCTAACTATATTTACAGGTATAATACATACAATATTCTAAGCATTCACAAAATGGGAACATATGAAGGGTTTGACACATGAATTTTCCAGGTTGCTAAGGTGTGCTTCTTCTTTAAGCATCAACATTCCCCTGGGTGGTAATACTCCTAAAACAGGGTCCACGTTGTCCTAGCTCCTAAAATCAAGCAAATGAAATTTCATTTTCCTTTCTTATGAACATCCCTATTGTAAGGGGTTGTAATGAAAGAGCAGCCCTGAGGGATTACTGGAGTGTGACATTTATGACCATTTGCGCCAATCCTCAATGACTACACGGCCCCAGAAGGCTACAGCTTTTTTCTTTTGAATACTTTTCCTCCACCTTGACAGACTGCTATCCTACAAATTACTGCTATTCCTGTCAGTATCTCCCCTCCCCTACCTTATAAACGGACTATATCTGATCTGTTGAAAATTGGTTAAAGAAATAAAATTGTTAGAACTGTATGCCCCAAAAGCAGGTTAAGTCAAGTCTGTCTGCACAATATTCTTAAAAGTGTGTGAGCTTCAGCAGGCCTTTCCTTCCTGGCTGTTACCTGGGTTTCTTGCTGGGTTTGTCAACCAGCTAAAACAGAACCACAAACTAAAGAGTCTGCACAAGTCAGAAGGGGAAATAGTTCAGCTTCTTCATGATATTGTACCAACAATCAGACCGATCTTGGTTTAATCCCTGACACTTACTAGCCATGCACCTATCTTCTCGAAACATTCATTTTTCTCAGCAGCGACTTACGTTTATGGAGCACTTGCTAAGCCCCAGGCCGCTGTCGTGTTGCACCTGTACTCTCCCATATAGTGAATCCTTACAGTAAGCCTGTGAAGGAGACAGCATTATCCCCATGAATCAGTTGAGAAAACAGGTTCCAAAGTTAAGTAACTCAATGTCACATAGCTAATAAGCAATGGTCAGGACAGTCTAACCCAGAACTCTTAGCTATTCATTCATTCAACAACCATCATCTGAGCTGCTACCACCTTTGAGGCACTAGGTATACACCTCAGTGAACAAGACAGATAAAAATTCTTGCCCTCCTTTATTTTATACATAGTAGCTTGAACCTCTTAATCTCCTCCCCTTATCATGCCCCTCCTCCCTTCCCTCTATACTACAATGAAATGAAGCAAGTCTTGCCCTCCTTATATGGAGCGTACATTCTAGAGGACATGAAAAGAAGAGACAAACAGTGAGCAACAAATACAAATGTAAATTATACTGCATGTTATTAGATTATACCACTCAAAATTGCCAACTGCCAACTATTTTGACCTACAAAAATGGTAATTTCATACGGTTCGACCTAAGAGAAGGTGGTAAGTGCAACTGAGAAGAGGGTGAGGAGGGTCCGCAGTCGGAGGCGGGGTGCAGTGGTGAGTAGGGTGGCCCGGGAGAGCCCAGTGAGGTGGCGTGCTGAGGAGAGGAAGCGGAGTTACCCTGGATGCTACACTCACACGGGGTAACACCCACCTCAGCCTCAGAGGGCACCAAGATCAAATGAGATAACAAAAGGGAAAACTTTTTGTAAACTAGGAAGTTCTAGGACTATAGCAAATTATTATTTAGTATCATTTAAAGTTCCCTGTTTTGCTGCTGGGAATTACAGCAGACTTTGTAAGGCATAAATATAGCTGGATGGCCTGCAAGGTTACTAGTCCATACCTTACCTGGAGCAGAGAAGCAATGAAGAGTTTTGGCTTAAAACTTTTCTGCCTGCTCCCAGAAAACAAAAGGTTTTGTTGTTGTTCTTTAGTCGATAGAGTATTCTCTACCCAAAGAAGGTAACAGTGTATGTGTGAAAAACTGCTGAACTGCAGGTGAGGTTGCGATGGAAGCAATTTAACAGAATTCCAAGAGAGAGCCATGTTATTTTAGCATCAGAAAATGTAATAAACTATATACCATGTGTCTAAAATCTGAGGTCTCTGAAGTAGGCAAGAATCTCACTAGCTCCACCAACCCATTCTACCAGATAATCATTATTTGCTCTGCTTGGTAAAGATTACAATTAAACTAGCTACTGAAATTTAACAGACAAGGAAAAGGTAACCAACAGAAAACTACACTAGGTTAATTTGTAGAGAAATAACAGGTATGCATAGTTTCTTTTAAAGAGACAGCCTTTATTTTAAGAATTTTTACATTGAAGACTTCAAAAAGTGGTAGGTTTTTAGAACATATTGACCTGTATTTAAAAGGAACTGTTGACAAAGATTCTCCAGAAATAATCTGAACAAGCGGGAAAATACAGTTAATACTACTGAAACCTACTAAAATAACTCCAGGACATATGGTTTATCCGACATAACAATACCTCTAAATGCTGTCACTGATATGAAACTGACTGCTTCTTTTCTAAACACACAGTGGTATAATTAACAATATTCAATCACTTCTGTTCTTTCCTGAATATATAAAAATTAAAATACCAATTAAAAAACTAATATATTCTCCTCTTTCAATGTTTCTTACAGATACAATTTCAATATTTTCATTCATTAGTGGTGTGGTTTAAGAGATTTTTCATTCACAAGTCAAACAACAATCCATCCAAAGGGAACTGATACTCTATAGGCTCATAGTGCAAATAAAGAGTTAGGGAATGCAGCAACTGACCTTTCTAAAATACAGAACGGATAAAATTCTTAGAAGATACATGCAATAAGCTCTACTAAGCAGCTGGCCACAGAACTAGAACATCTGATCATTTTCCTGGTGACTTCAAGGGGACTCCAGATGTTTCCAAACTCAACTTGAACTCTCATCTTAGGCTTTGTATTTTGCTTTTCCAGTTTCGCTAATGACACAAACATGCTATAAAATAAAAATCCAGAGATTCACATTAGAAAAGTATACTGTGAAGTGAAAGGCGACAACAGTACTTGGCATGTCTTCTATGAACAGTATTCTGCTGCAGGGGTTTTTACAAAACAAACGGCCTTCCTCATCTTCCTCACCCGCGTTCACAAACGCATTCTCGGCACCCCTGCTTCCAGAGGAGGTGGTGGGTATTTGAAGGAGAGTGAATTAAAAGACTTAAACTAGTTCATTTCTCGCTTACTTATGACCACATCTATCATCTGAAATAATAATGGGACAGTTACTGTATATTAAACCTGTTCAACTGTTTAGCCAGCAAGAAGTGTTACCCTAGCCTGGCCAAGTTACAGCTTTAAGGACGTCTGTACTTGACTACATCTTTATGTGACTAATGGGAACCATCAGTCTGTTCAAATTATGAGGTGCTGGAAAGAGAAAACAATTCTTCCCTTTTATAAATTTTTATATGGGTTCTGAAAAATGAGAATGAGGAAAAGAAGCATTACTTACATTCAAATCCCTGAAGTATTCATTATAGTCAAGGGCATATCCTACAACAAACTTGTCTGGAATTTCAAATCCAACAACTAAAAAGAATCACATCATTTAGATACAGAAAACATCACTTTCAAATCTAATACGTGCAAACATTCTCTAAAGTGACTCTAAACCATTTCATATAAAACTTGTTGGGTTAAAGCTGGTTAAATGATTGACAAAGTATTTCACTTACAGTCTGGTCTATATCCAACACTTCGCGGGGTCCTTTTCACCAGCAAGCTGTTAATTATAAAATGTGACATGTGACACACGGAGACACTGCAGGGCATTACAAAAGAGAATATTCATGGTTTGCAACACGGTTTCATCTGCAGTTTAGAATACTATGGTCAGTTTTAACAAACCCAAAGAAACACTCTGAAATGGAGAGAGCTAAATCACAGGGCTCCCTGGGCAGGGGCAGCAATGAGTTCACACTATAGATGAGGCCCTCGATTGATCTTCACCTGGAACACGACGGACTGTTCTGAGAGCTGCCCCCTGACTACCCACATGCCCATCAAAGGGCAGCTACTTGGGGAGGATGAACGGGTGGGGAATGCCAACGAGCAAAGATGACAAGTAAAGGCTTTCAGTCCAAAATCCCTGGAAAACAATCCCTAAGCCACAAATGGTGTGGGAGAGGTGAGCATCACCTTTCAAGACTTCTAGTAAATAGCTTACAAAGAGGAATGTTAGCTTAAAAAAGAAGTAGCATGCTAAAGGAGCTACTATTTGTTTTTGAGAGCAGAAACTGCAGGTAGGATGTGTCAACTCTAACGAAAGCTAATTTCATAATCCAAGTGCTGCCTGCTGAAAATTTTCAGCCATTAAAAAACCTGTAATGGTGCTCTGAAAGCCTTTACATATGATAAGGGCAGTCCCAATAAAACAAGATTTCATAACTTCCTAGATAAGTATATTAAAAGGGCTGGAAAGGACCTAAAGTGATTCTCAACCTTCACTGCACATTGGAATCATGTGGGAACCTTAAAAAATATATAAAACTCAGATACCCGGGCCATACCCCTCACCAATTACATCAGAATCGCTGGGGATGGGACACAGATGTAGGTTATGTTTTGTTTTTTAAACTCTCAGATGATACCAATGTGCAGCCAAAGTTGAGAAGCACTGGCCTAAGCCTTAGCCTCCAAGGGATCGTAGTCCAGGCAAGTCCCTTGAGATTCTCCTTCCAGTAATTAGAGGACACACTTAGACTCGGGATCCATTTAGAAAGAAAATAACAAACCAATCGCAGCAAAACCCCTTCCATCTACCTGAACTCATTCAGGAACAATCCAAAAAAGGTATCATTAAACTCAGTGAAAGCTGTACTAAGAGTTCAGGGGAACTCGGCACCTCATATTCCTATAGATCTCAATGAATTATTTTGAAATAATTGCAGATTCATAGGAAGTAGCCAAGAAAAAAGCACAGAGCGCCCGTGTGCCCTCTCTCCGGTTTCCTCCAGTGAACATGTCACATAACTGTAGTAGATTACCACAACCAGGACATGGACATTGGTGGACTGACCTTATCCAAATTTCATCAGCTTTCTGTGCTCATATTTATATGTGTGTAATTCTACGCAATCGTATCACACGTGTGGATTCGTGTAACCACCACCACAATCAGGATACAGAACTTTCCATCACACACGGCTTTCTCTTGCTACCTCTTTATTTATAGTCACAGCCACCCACCACCCCCTAACCCCTGGCAACCACTAATCTGTTCTCCATTCCTATCATTCTGTCACTTTAAGAAGGTAGTATAGGGGCTTCCCTGGTGGCGCAGTGGTTGAGAGTCCGCCTGCCGATGCAGGGGATACAGGTTCGTGCCCTGGTCTGGGAAGATCCCACATGCCGCAGAGCGGCTGGGCCCGTGAGCCATAGCCGCTGAGCCTGCGCATCCGGAGCCTGTGCTCCGCAACGGGAGAGGCCACAACAGTGAGAGGCCCGTGCACCACAAAAAAAAAAAAAAAAGAAGGTTGTATAAATGGGATCATACAGTATTTACCCTTTTGAGATTGGCTTTTATTGGCACAGCTCCGTTGAGTTCCTCCAGGTCGTGTGCATCAGCAGTTTGTTCCTTTTTAGTGCTGGGTAGGATTCCATGGTAGGGTGGACCACAGTTTGTTTAACCAGTCACCTACCAAAAGACATTTTGGCTCTTTCCAGTCTGGGGCTATTGCAAATGAAGCTGCCATGAACGTTCACACACGGGTTTTTGCGCGGATGTAAGTTCTCATTTCTCTGGGAGAAATGCCCAGAGTGCAGCTGCTGGAGTTGTATGGCAGTTACAGGTTTAGTTTCTTAAGAAACTGCCAAACTGTTTTCCAAAGTGGCTGCAGCACTTGACATGCCTGTCAGTTAATGGTTTTTTAATTTAACTTTTAAGTTAAAAAGCTTTCTAGTCATTCTTAACCCTGCTTTGTACTTAATCTTTTTAGGTATAAAGCACAGATACACATACATTACATAAATAGATACACAATATATCTGTGATATTAAATTTAATGGCAAGGAAGGGATTAGGAAAAGAAGGTTGAGAAACAACCCACTTGGGCCACAGCCCCATCACTAATGACCCTCACACCTCCAGCTACAGGAAGTATCTCTCTCGTGAGGCAGTCTATCTCAGTTTCACAGCATACTCCAGGAAAGAGGCACACAAGAATATCTGGAGGAGTATATGCCACAGTAGGCTGACATTTAAAAAACCCTGAAAGCATGTAGAGAAATGAGCAAATGCACTGATTGGTCTGCAGGAAACTGCTTAGTGCCCTAGAATGCATCATTTCTACACTCTCATCATGCCTGTCCCAAATCCATTTAAAGTAAAAACTCACTGATGATACACTGGCACCAGCTATCAGAAAAGCCCCAAAGGACAAACTGCTGACACACGACTCAGTAGAAGGCTTACTCTGATTCAAAGATGTTCGACAAATACTTTGATCCTTTAAAAGGGGTTTATAAAAACCAGTTAATCGTTTAGGAAATAAAAGTTAGATCATTATCTGACCCCTACATAAAAATTGCAGATTGGTCAAAAATTAAAAAGAAAAAAAAAACCCAAAACATCCAGGGACGTCACCTGACAAAAAAAATAGTAAGGCATGAACTCTGAGCCAGGTTGCCTGGGTTCAAATTTTACCTCTATAGTGATCCAGCTCTGTGCCTCTGGATAATTCCCTATGCCTTGGTATCCCCATCTGTGAAGTGGGAATAATAGTCTACCTCTGAGTTGTTGGGGAGTGAAACTATAATTAGGGATAAACACAGGTAGAACTAATAAGCCAAACAGCATAGGTAGGACCAGGAAGTGAGGCTGGCTTAGAAGAAAGGAAGCAGGCATTGTACATTTTCAACGTGGCTACAAAACAAGATGCATCACACAGGACCACTACATCACTCAATTCCAGGAGCTCAGGATCTCCAGGGCCCACTCCCTCCTACCACCTCCTAACCCGTCTTTGGGATCCTTGGTCTCAGTTTTGCAAAGAGGCCCCAAATCCTCTGCCATGCTACCCAGGACAACTTTGATATCACTATTAGATTGGTGAAAAACCAAAGAGTAATAACATTGGGCAATAAGGTGACTGCACTGAAAGGCTTTAACACACGACAAATTATTTACAAAGGACACTTACTGAGTCTTACTTGAGATTATACTACTTTTTGGAGATAAGAAAATTTACCCTTACAAAGAAGCAATTAATCTTTTTTCAAATGAAGAAAGTATCCTATGTCAAAATGTTATTTACATACCTTGCAACCTTGACCATCTTTGGATTATGCTGCTTGACCAAGGAAAGCAAGGTCTGCATTGTTTTGCCAGTGTCAATTATATCCTTTAAAAAAAGAAAAGACATTTAAATGGTAAATAAAACTATCGTACCTTTAAATTCAGTCATCATATAAACACAAAAAAACAAAATCCCATGTATAACTGGAATAATGCCATTTTTTTTCGGTGCAGTGATTCTCACCACAATTCATACTGAGATATTCTGGAATCTGTAAGTCATCTGGCTCTCAGCAAGCAGTAGGAATGCCAGTCCTCAGGGCTGGATTTTATAGGCACCAAGAGATCAATGACAGCTAATTTAAGTATATATATGCAAGTATGTACACACATATTTTATTAGAGAGTTGTGGTGCTGCCCTTCATTATAAAAGATATTAGATTTTTTTTTATAAACTCAAGATCAGGATGCTCCAACTCTCGGATGCAGGTGGTTAAGAGACCACACCAAGAAACACTGCTTTATACCATCTTAAAAGTATCCAAAGTATTAAAGTTTTACCATATAGAATACTTTACATGAAAGTGAATCTTAGCTATTTAGTCAAAAGTAGGACATTATTCAAAAAAATCCTATCTCTAATTGGGAAAACATTTCTTAAACCATAACCCTAATGCTCTTCAATGAAAATATTCTCTACAGATGGTATAAAGCAGCGTTCACAAAGTGGGGCTGTAAGTCATCAGAAACATCAGGGCTGGGGATTTGTGAAAAATGCAGATTTCTGGGCTGTGGTAGACAGAATTCTGATGGCCCCCAGGACTCCTGCCTCCTGGTGTACACACTCAGAATAATCCCCCACTCCCTGAGTGTGAGTGGGACTTGCGAAATGATGGGGTTGTCAGTAGGTTGTGTTACACAAGACAGCTGTAGCAGCCTGGAGAGAGATTCTGCTGGTTTTGAAGAAGTCAGCTGTCATATGAGAGGGCCATGTGCTAGGACATGAGGACAGCCTAGCAAGAAAATGGGGCCCTCAGTCCTGCAACCACAGGAACTCAGTTCTGCCAACAACCTGAATGAATTTGGAAGAGTACCATGAGTCACAGGTGAGACAGGAACCCCAGCCTTGATTCAGCCTGATGAGACCTGGGGCAGAGGACCCGGCAGCTACCCTGTATTCGAGTCCTGACACCTGAAAACTGAGATAATCAGTGTGTGTTGTTTTAAGCGGCTTAGTCTGTGGTAATTTGTTAGGCGGCATTACTGCAGACAAAATGAAGCAATCTGAAGTGGAATTAGTGAATCTGCATTTTTAAAAAAGCAACCAGTTCCCAGGGATACTCATGTACACAAACCCTGTGAAAAGAGTGTTATTTGTTTATTTTTTAATCTATGAGCTAAAGTTTCTAAAAACCTTGGTAACAACAAAAAGTGAATCAGGGGTTACTGTTGCTCTTAAGCCTTACACCATTTTACATAAAAGAGTAAGAACTCATTCTATTGGTGGGAATATAAAGTACTTCGATGAGTAATTTGGCAACAATAGTAAAAGTGAAAACGTACAAATTCGAAAATCCAGTCATTCCACTTCTAAGTGCCTGTATCCAGAGGGAACTCACACACATGCACACAGGACAATGCAAAAGGATGCTCTTAGCAGCCCTGTTGTAGTAAGAAAAATTGGAAGCAAACTCCCTATTTGTAGGGCAATAAATAGGTTGATTTGTACACTGAAATGCTATGAAGGATTTTAAGGTCAACTAACTCTATATGTTTCAACATGAATAACCTCAAAACCAATTTTAAGTGAGAATAACAAGCTGCAAGAGAGAATATATACAGTGTAGCACTATATAAATTATCAAAAAATATATTTTGTATATGGTTATATATACGCAATAGAAGCATAAAAAGCATGGATGGGAATGATATGTGTAACTTTAAAAGGAACAAAAATATTTCAAGCCAAAAAGAGAGGGGTAAGAAATATGCCAAAATGTTTCCACTATCCGGTAAAAGTAAATTACTAAATATTTCTTAGAAAAAAAACAATCTCACTCCCTTATAACACAAGCCCACCATTAAAACTGATGAAAAGGAATTTCTTTCCCTGGGTTACCTCTAGGACTGTGCATACCAAGTTAGAAAATCATAAACACTATATTAAAAGTATGTAAAACTTACTTCAACAATCAAGACATTCTGGAAGAAAAAGAGAAATGAAAATCAGTACAATGAATCAGACAGTGTTTCCAATTATAATTCAAGTCACATCATAACAAACTCTAAGGATTTATCCAAATTCTTGCTTTAAGCTACTTTACTACATTGAACTCTGATTTAAACAAATGGGCCATCTGTTGGGATTTGGAACTCTTTAATATAAAATTTTCACTGCAGTGGAATTTTTAAAAATAAAATTTGACCCATATGTTCATTTTTTAAGAGTTTTCATTACTTAAACGGAGGTCTAATCTTGGGCAAGTCACGAAATTTCTCTGGGCCTCAGTTTCCCATGTGGAAAATGAAGGACTTCAACTAATATGTGTATTCCAACTCTAACATTCAAAACTATAATTTGTACAATAACTCCAAAATCATGCATTTAACTTACCATATGGAATCCAATTCAAAATGCATTTTCTCAGTAGGCTGAAATTGATCTGCATTTTCTGGATGTGTTCATATTCTTGGACTAAACTAAAAGATACCAATGCTTCCTCCCACCATAAACCCTTACCCCAATTTCTACCTCTCAGAATTTTATAGCTGTTAGAACGCTTAGAGAAAATACCATCTAACAATTACCTCCGAGGTAGAGAAGAGTCCTATGTCTATTCCTGGGAATGAGGCAGCATTTCACATACTGGTTATAATCATTGTCACAAGAAGATTCATGTTATATTGCTTATTTGTAGTTCTCATTTCTCTATCACATACCTACAAGCATCAGAATTTTAATGTTCTATATACTCTTCTAAGTCAGTGGTTATCAAGGTAGGGCACACAAGATCCACTGGGTTGAAAGAAAGAAAGATTAGAACTTTTTTTAAACCTCACCTTATGTAATCTATAATTTTATAACTGCATGCATTTTATAATGTACATTATATTACTACCATAGTTCATATGCAATTTACTCCTTTCCTCATATCACAACTAATTTCTCTCTTTTCAAAAGATATTGTAACCTAAATCTTCAGGAAAATTGAATATACAGTTGATGCTTGAACAACAAGGGGACTAGGGACACTGACCCTCCACACAGTTGAAAATCCACATATAACTTTACAGTCAGCCCTCCATATCCACAGTTCCTCCGTATTCACAGATTCAACCAGCCACAGATCGTGTAGTAAGGATTTATTGAAAAAATTTGCATATAAGTGGACCCACATAGGTCAAACCCATGTTGTTCAAGGGCCAACTGTAATCAATTAATGGACCAAATAATTGTTTCACCACCTACCATGTGGTTCTTTCTCAGCATTTCCTCTAACCCAGCTAGCACATCTGAAGGACATTTTCCCATCAGTGACTTTGGCTCACTGATGCAGCAATTTGCACCATGGGATGGAATTATAGTCTGAAAAGAGCACTGAATTATGAGACAAAGAAACTGGATTCTAGTCTTGCCTATAATACTAAGTAGCTGCAAAACCTTGTCTAAATCATAATCAAAGACTTTTACTACTATGAGGCTGAGAGATTAAATATTTGCCACACAAAATTATAGTATCCAGAGTATGATGTCATTAATGTTTAAAAAATAAAAGAATGAGAATTGCTACCGTTACCGAGAGCTTAGTTTACATCAAATAGCTACATCCTTACTTAATAAATGAAAAAAATGAGGTTCAGAGGTCAAATGACTTGCCTGAAGTCATAAAAATAGTCAAGTGGTAGAGGATAGATTTGAAGAGGGGTTTTCAGGGTCCAAAGCCCATATTCTCAACCATAACTGGAAAAAAGGGGAAAACTATTCATATATATATGTATCTGCACACACACAGTATCTGCCAGAGATAAACTGAAATAGAACGTCTAAATAATCCATAATCTCACCACCAAGAAACAACTTCACCCAACTTCTGCGTCTTGTTTTTTTTCCACAATAAATGTGCTTACTGTGACTATCATGAAAAGAAAGTTATTTTAGAAGCAGAGACCTTTTAAGATCACAGAGCTATGTAGTGGGACAGAGCCATTAGGTGGGAAAGGCAAGGTCAAATGGAATCACAGAGAGCTTTGAAGGCTAGGTCCCTTCCAGCACTAAAAACTGATTATAGGAGTAAGGTCTTCAAATGACTTCTAAATATGGGCAAAGCACGCTGAAAGGGAAGGAGGATAGGTCTGGCAGGAAGGGAAAAGAGTCAACAGATTATAATTTCTCCTTTGAAGTTTTCAAAAGATGTTGAGGAAGACAACATTAGTTTGGCACGACCCTGATATGGGACCATAGAATTTGACACAAGTGTTGCATGTTAAAGTCGCCTTACAGATACTCAGTGAAGTAAGCTATAAACATTAAAATCTAAAAACCAGAGGAAGAAAAGAGCTTTGGAGCCAGATAGACCTGCATTTAAATTCAAGCTCTACCACTTAACTGGCAGTGTGACTTTGGACAAGTCTTTCAACCTTGCTGAGTCTTAGTCTCCTGATCTGTAAAATGGGGATGATAATATCTACCTCAAGAGGATTCTTGTGAAGCTTTTATGAGATTATGCCTTTATATCTGGCACTGTGTCTATAAGCAAAAAAGTAACTGGCAGCTGCAAAAAAAAAAAAAAGCATTCCATCATTTATCATTGGTTACTCAAAAACCATTTCAGTGTATCTGAAGAATAATATTGTAAATATTCAAGTATTTTAATAGCTCTATTATCTCAGCGAAATGTCTATGCTGGAAGAATTTTGATGTATTTTAAACTCTTTTTTGGGATTCCTTAAAATAACAGTATGTTATAACATACTGAGTGTTCTAACTACCAGAAACTGTTTTAAGAGCTCTACATGCATTATATCACTCAATCCTCTTAACTCACTGAGATGACTGCCGGTAGCATCATATGGGAGACGAGAGGTTAAATAACCTGCCCAAGATCACATAGCTACGAGGTACTGAGCCAGGCTTTGAACCAAAGCTCTCCAGCTCTAGAACCCACACTTTCAGTCACTACATTATACTGTTTCTCTATCTTTTAAGAAACTATGTGCTATCTCTTTTTAAAAAGAAGACTGTCTTTTCCCCCATATATTCTTTTGAAGGATCCCAAATTAGATCCCCACAGAAGCATACCAGCAGTACTTGGCAACACAGACTTGACGTTTAATGTTGGATTTTGCTGCCTCTTTGCTATATGACCTAGAGAAAGGTATCTAACTTAGGTTGTTTCCAAGGGTTAAATAACCCTTGTTTGAGTGCATAAATAACTATCTAAACTGCCTCTTGGTGATGGATTGAAAGCACAGTGTTACTAATTGACTTGGTATGGAATGTTTTTTTCTTCCCCTTCAAGATACATACCTTTCCAGTTAAAGTTGAGAGATCATCTCCACCAATTACTTTTATGTCACCTGTTGACTGGTCATTCTAGTTAAAAAAAAAAAAAAGATAAATATGTATGTATATCTTTCCATGTATACACACACATTTCAAATTATCAAACACGAACTAGAAGATTTAAGAAGTTAGCTATCTAATGTCATAGCATTATGATAGTCTAAATGATACAAACTGTAAGAATTATGTCTCTAGAAATGAATGACTAGGTAACTTTCAACTAGAGATTAGTAAAAATTAAGAATTTCTAATTGGTCATTACTGATTTGATGCTTCAAAGAGTCCTAAAAATGGGGTACACCCATTTTTGAGTGGGCAGTATTACAGAGGCCACCCATCTTCAGTCTCAGTAATTTCTGAACCACGAAAGAAGTTATTAGCATGACAGGTGTCTGGTTCTGGCCCTGGACCATTCCCATGAGTCAATCAAGTTGTAGGGTCTCGTCTATATCACACTTGACTCCAAAGATATTTCCCTCAAAAGTCTAGCTCAGGCCCAGGTCATCTTCAGCACAGTCTGGGAAATCAGGTCTGATCAGTAGTCCTTTAAAGCATACCTCTTAGGCTCCCAGTTTTATGCTATCACAGAATCTAGTAGAAACCCTTAAAAGAGTTTCAAAAGGGAATGCTCCACACCCACTGTAGTTGGTGGTGATAATGATCATAATTTGCTGTGCTGGATTCAAGACAGAAAACTGGAGTGAAAGAGCAGGTGAATGAAACAGCTTAGACTTGCCCTACCAGAGAGCAAACCATACCAAAGCTGTGGCAATTACAATGGTGCTGTACCAGCACAGTAACAGACAAAGAGATCAAGGAACAGAATAGAGCCCAGAAACAGACCCAGAAATATATGAGGATTTAGTATATGATAAAGATGGTATTTCAAGTCAGTAGGAAAAAGATGAATTATTCAATAAATGGTGTTTCATCAACTAGTAATCCATTTGGGAAAAAAATAAAGTATGATCCCTACCTCACAGCATACACAAAAATAAATTCCAGATGGATTAAAATCTAAACGTAAAAAATAAAGCCATAAGCAAACCAGAAGAAAACGTAGAATATTTTCACATTCTCAGAAAGGTAAAAACTTAGGCATGACATGAACCTAAACTGAAAGAAAAGATCTGTAACGAGTATTTCTATTATACATTGGGCTCCAACAATAAGAATCCAACAGAGAAATGGAGAATGAACACGAGTAGGTAATTCACAGAAAAGAATGTCATAACATATAAAATGATATCTGAGAAACAAATAAACAACATGATTCTACTGTTCACTCATTCACACTGGCAATATATATATTTTGGCAAGAGTGACAGGAAACAAGCACCCTTGTTGGTGGTGAGAGTATAAATCAGTACACTGTCCTTCGAAAAATATATAGCCATACCTATTAAAATTGTAAACACGCATGCCATTTGCCCCAGCAATCCCACTTCCAGGAATCAAAGCTACAAAAACACAAGTGTGCAAAGGTACATACAAGGATGTTCACTGTATCAACTGTTATAAGAAACAAAAATTGGAGACAACCAGCATGTTTATTAACAGGGAACTATTTAAATTAAGTTCATCCACACAATGTAATACTGTGGAGCTATTAAAAAAAATCTGATAGGGCTTCCCTGATGGCACAGTGGTTGGGAGTCCACCTGCCGATGCAGGGGACGCGGGTTCGTGCCCCACTCTGGGAGGATCCCGCGTGCGGTGGAGCGGCTGGGCCCGTGAGCCGTGGCCGCTGAGCCTGCGTGTCCAGAGCCTGTGCTCCGCGGCGGGAGGGGCCACGGCAATGAGAGGCCCGCGTGCCGCAAAAAAAAAAAAAACAACAACAACAAAGAATCTGATAATCTATACACACTGACATGAACAATGGTAACTAAAAACACCAAGTTATAGAGCAATGTGTTGCCTACGGAACCATTTCTGTTCAGCATTTTTAAAAAGCTTCTAACTGCAATTACCTCTGAGTAGTGAGAAGGGATAAGAAGACTTTCTACTTTTATATACAGGCATACCTCAGATATTTCGGGTTTGGTTGCAGATCATCACGATAAAGTGAGTGTCACAATACAGCAAGTCACAGGAATTTTTTGGTTTCCCAGTGGACATAAAAGTTATGTTTGTACTGTACTGTAGTCTATTAAGTGTGCAACAGCATTATGTCTAAAAAAACAATGTACAATACCTTAATTTAAAAATACTTTATTGCTAAAAAAATGCTATTGTTTATATGTGTAATCTAAAAAAATGGTACAAACGAACCTACTTACAAAACGGAAATAGAGTTACAAATGTAGAAAACAAACATGGTTACCAGGGGGAAAGGGGCGGGGATAAATTGGGAGATTGGGATTGACATACACACACTACTATATATAAAATAGATAACTAATAAGGACCTACTGTATGGCACAAAGAACTCTACTCAATATTCTGTAATGGCCTATATGGGAAAAGAATCTAAAAAAGAGTGGATATATGTATATGTATGACTGATTCTCTTTGTTGTTCAGCAATAACTAATGCAACATTGTAAATCAACTATACTCCAATAAAAATTAATTTAAAAATAAAATAAAATAGTGACGTCAAATACTGTGGAGGATGCAGAGAAACTGGATCACTTATACTTTGTTTATGTGAACGTAGAATGGTACAGCCACTCTGGAAAACATTTCAGCAGTTTCTTTAAAAATAAAACATGAAACTATGGTAAAACCCCACCCCACCCCAAATAAATAAATAAATAGATAAAAAATAAAAATGCTAACCATCATGTGAGCCTTCAGTGAGTCTTAATCTTTTTGTAATGGTAACATCAAAGATCACTAATCACAGATCACCATAACAAATATAATAATAATGAAAAAGTTTGACCTATTGCGAGAATTACCAAAATGTGACACAGAGACATAAAGAGAGCAAGTGCTGCTGGAAAAATGGCATCAACAGACTTGCTTGACCCAAAACTGCCACAAACCTTCAATTTATAAAAAATGCAGTATCTGCAAAGCACAATAAAGTGAAGTGCAATAGGGACTCCCCTGGTGGTCCAGTGGTTAAGAATCCATCTTGCAATGCAGAGGGCACCAGTTCGATCCCTGGTTGGGGAGCTAAGATCCCACATGCCGCAGGGCAACTAAGCCTGTGTGCCACAACTACAGAGCCCATGCAGTGTGAAAGATCCTGCATGCCACAACTAAGACCCGACACAGCCAATAAATAAATATTTTAAAAAATTACTTAAAAAAAAGTGAAGCGCAATAAAACGTGGTGCGCCTGTACTTCTAATTTTGTCATACACTTCTATATATGTGTCCGTATTTTATGGAGTGTTATTTTTGAAAATCACAAATGGGCCAACAGTATACAGTGTTGCAAACTAAACGTAAGATACATAAGTATGACTACCAGTATCAAAAAACTCTTGCATATTACTTCTCATCTTAAGGAAATGTCGGACACCTCTTATTCTAACTAACTTAAAACCTAGAGTTTCAAAGACAGAGAATTAATAGCAAAAAAAAAAAAAAAAAACCGTATGAAACCTGAAGCTTTCAATGAGAGCGAATCACAGTAGTAAACGATTTACACAGTAAATCAAGTTAAATAGCGACATCTTCTGTATAAATTTGGTATTACAGTCGACTTCAATTGACCCTTTTTTTTTTACAGAGAAAAGGAGTAAAGATCTGAGAACTGAAAAGTATGGAAAAAACCCTGTGATCCAAAGGCGATCGTGAGAGGGTAAGAGACAAGAGAACTACAAGCACGCAAGACACTGCTGCTGCACTAGATCTAAATCTCCATATTTCCGTTCGCCCCAAGGGTTTTAGCTTCGAGGTTCCTTTTTCTGGAAACACAGCCACCTTTTAAATGAAGGGTAATACAGAAGATTCATTTAAGAAAAATGTTACAGTCCACTGTGCTAGAATACAGGTATAAGTGCCCAAATTGCATACAAATGGCACCCATGAATCAATTACCCCACCAGAGGATTTTCCCTTGCTCCCTCCCTTCCTGTCTATGACAAGCTTCCCACTGTATCCCTGCTGCATTTCATTACTGAGTGACTCTTACGTGCTTCATCTTTAAGGAGATGATAGGACTGGCATGGGAGAGCCCAATCTGTCCTTAACTCAGAATGTCACTGTCAACTACATAAAATCCCCAGAGAAGCTCTTTGGGTCTACCAAATACATACCCTCCGTGTCTGTGTTTCCATTTTATCTACCTTTTCTCGAGTCTACGTGAAAAAAAGAGAAGGGAAATAGGAAGGAACTTTCTTATTTGTCTATCCCTAAAAATTGTGCAAACCTCCAGGTAGCAACAAGAACTGAAGCTTGGTATAGGAAAAGAGGAGAGAAAGCTGTGTGAAAACACGTTAATGAGTGGGCTGCAAAAGAACGGCTTGGAACAAACAGGTTGAGACCATAAGAAGAGAATGCAGAGAGGTTAATCACCAAAACTGGGCTCCCAAGAGGGTGAGACTAGGAGTATTACTGAGGTAGGAAGTCCAGCCTTAGCACTTAGTGGCTTAGCAATATGTGCCTTCCTTTTTGCAGTGAACTTCAGATCATTCTTTAGGACCCTAGAATGGAGTTATGGGGAAACAACTGTTCCTTCTACAACCAGCTAGGTCCCAAGTCCACCACACTCAATCATATTTTCTCTTCACATCATAATTTCAACCATCCTCTGTGTCCTTTAACTGTTCTCCTGTACCCTGATCAAATATCAACAAAAGTGAGAATATTAGAATCATGAACTTTTAGAGGTAGACTGCACCTCAGATGAAAAACGGCAGATATCCAATTTTCTAAAAATATATGCAGAAAATAATAAGTCTGGAAGGATATATGCCCAGGTAATAAGTCAATTTATTTACCTGTCATTTTAAACTTAAAATGTTGCTTTAAAGGAAAAAGAAGCTATTATCAGTTTTTAAAATGATGCTGATGAAGCAGGGCCCTTATAGATCATCTAATCCTGCACTATCCAATATAATAACCACTAACCAC